ACTCAGCTAGAAGCAATAGAAGTGAGAGGGCGCAGACAAGTAGCGCGTTTGGCTTTGGCTGGGGGTGTAACTGGTCGTGCTGCAGCGCGGCGGAGAATGGAGACGGCAGCCGGCATCACTACCCTCCAGCCCTGTTCTCGTGGACTTTTGACCGAAGAACGTGGCACGCCACACTCACATGGTCAGGAATCCAGGAAGGTGTGCATAATTGCGTAAGCAGGGTAATAGCATCGTTGCGTCAAACTCATGGGGGGGGCGACTCTTTTACTCTAGGGAGGGGGGGGCGTATTAATTCTATATGCATTTTGTACGCCCGTGGGATATACGTTGCATAGTAATTGTATACCCCCGCTCGACAACTTTTTCGCCGACTATATACTCATCGCTCGTCCGTCGGCGAAGAAGCCGTGGAGGCGGAGGAGGGGGGGTCGTGCCTGGACCCCATTCGAAGGGGGGTCGTACTCACACCGACATTTCGCACATCCCATGCTGTGTACGCCTTGGGCGTAAGGCAGCGTTCAGACTTCGCGACGGCAGCGCTTCGGTCGCGCGTTCGACGCGATCAATGCGCATGCTTTCGACTGCATCGATCGCGTCGAACGCGTGACCGAAGCACTACCGTCACCAAGTTTGAATGTACCTAGAGCGCATTAGCCCATCGCTGGTCACGCACCACCGACGAATTACCACCAACGCGACAAATTACGGTCTTGTCATGTGCGACAGTACGGAGGAGGGGGGGGGAGAACCCAAAATAATTAAAATAAAACAAGGATAATTACATGGCTCACCTTAAAAAGTATATTCAGCGGATAATTAGCAACAAAAGACCCGTCGACGAACTTTTTACCCTGATAGCAGAACGGCTCGAAATACGTCGGTGCTGCACTGAAATCATACGACATTCATCTTCTGTGCTCTGGAGGTTTTCCTTCAGTCTGAATCGCTGAGACAGTACTAAAAAGTAACGTTGATATCGTCCCGATCCCGCGGAGCTGGGTCACCAAGGAAAACCAAACGAGCCTGCGGCTGCGTTTCTTACTCATAGTGGTCGAAAATAAGTTTTCTATCATTGGTTATTTTCGACTCAGGTCACAATAACCAATGATAGAAAACGGCGAAGGTGGACTCATTCCACGCCTCCTAGCCCCGTCTGATTTTGACAAAAACAACAATGACTGTCAAAAGTACGCGAATCAAGATAGATCCTTCACGCGTAAACAATCCATAAGGGTACTCCAGACGGGGCACAGCATTGTTATGTAAAATCTTCGATAAACACGACCTCTAGCTAGAACTGTAATTCTCTGTGGATCCTTCACAATGTATTATAGGTTACACCGTCGAGCAGAGAGGGGGCGGAGACGGAGATATGAAGAGCATTCGGATGGATGATATGACGTCTCAGTGTCTCCAAAAAACTTCTTAGTCCTCATTCGAAGAGCAGTCGTTGAGGTGGGAGGGGGAGATCCACTACAGACAGTTACCACAATGCTTTATAAGTTAGAGCGAGTAAAGAGAATAGTTGCAATTTTACGGTGCCACCAACTAGGGGGATCCTCCGCCGCTCTTTCTTCATAATAGATGGTGTGCCTGACTTCAAGGCAAAGAATATGTAGGCTTATTACCTCTTTATGCGGTGACTCTTATCGCCTACAGAAAAACTTTTTCAGAGAAAAATAGTTTATGGGAGAAAATAAGGCACCGTACCTGCTTGCTCGAGCGGCGTCCTTGAACATGATGTCTTGCTCTTCGTCAAGAGGTGCACCGAATGGGAGTGTGAATGAGTAATTCCTGGAAGAAGATGCATTTTGGTAAGCCGAATGCGAAAATTGCTGGACAGATTGATGCTAATAATGTGGGCTCAAATAAAGCGGACACCATAGCCATAGGTCGCATGGGTAGTTTCCCTGGGCCATTCACTGTCTCTGGATAGGTGAGTTATTCTCTGGCCGGACTGACGGGTCTGGAAAGTAGCTTTCCTTGACAAACGTTAGTTGGCCCCCTAACACCTTTGAGGGGCCAACTACCGTTTGTCCAGGAAGAAACCCCAGATGAAAAGAGAAAAGCGTCGTCAGCTTACCTAAAGATATGCAGTCTCGCAGGAGCCAATGATATGTCCAGAGCAGGAACCGTCAGTCGTCGATCGCATTTGTGGAACGATTGCGTCGGAAAGCAGTTGCTCAGTACCTTCTCAATGTTCCGCGTTTGCGTCGTGACCTGAAAGGGTCATCATGGCTGCGTTTACATCTTCACTTATGCCGAGAAACATTGGCGGTGACATACATCGCCAAACATGCTAGTCGCACAGCACAAAAAACTAGCTGGGAAAAGCTACTCAATGTTGCAGCAAATAAAGGAGGAAAGTATAAACGCACTTGGTCGCCGAGCAATCGTGACATGGTAGAACCTTCGAGGAATATTTGCCGTTTCATATCCCAGTAGAGGAAAAAGCATTCGCTGAGGGTCCAACCGTTGGCCGTTGACAAGGCGAGCATTGATCCGGTACTGAAAGAATTCATATGGAGCATGGAAAACATTTATGATCAAGATTGTCTGCCAAGATACATCGCCGATGACATACACTGCTCCTCTAATGGAAGCAGTTATCGAAGTCCGTTTATTAAAGGCAGCGAAAGAATCGCTGGAGGCGGGCGGTTGTTGCCAACGTCATTGGTGGAAGGGTTACGAAAGGGCGCTCACCCACGCCCCACTTGACCCCTTCACCAATAACGTTGGAGACAACCGCCCGCACCCCGCCTCCAGCCATCGTGCCCACTGCCGTTAAGGGCTGGGCTGCAAAGCCCTGCAGTTGTGACACAAGGGCAAGCTTGCTGCTTTCTTGCAGA